GATTTATCTGCCCATATATTTATACTCTGCCTTGCTTTATATATATATATATATACACCTTTCCGCTTCTCTCTGTTTTTCCGCTTCATTTTAAAGGTAAATTATCAGCCCGAGCACCGCCCCCTGTGTGGCGTGCTCCCTATGTCCCATTCGTGGCGAAAAAAAAAAAAAAAAAAAAAAAAAAAAACAGCCAAAATGGGGAAATTGCCTAAAAATAGCTAGCTGTGGATAAATCGACAAAACGGCTAAAACTGAGACACTAGTTGAGAACAGGCAACGGGGAAAACTCGAAATGAAATACGCTCCAAATGGCCAAGTCATCACTTCCACCAAAACATGTAGAGAAAGAAGTTTTTAAACACATGCACATTTAAGTCGGCGAGAGGGGGAAAGGGCAAACGTGCACATGTGCGTATGTTCACGCACGTTATACATGCGCGGTCGAACTGTGCTGGGGTGGCTCCCACGCAACAGCAGGCGCACAAGTGAAATATGCATACCTACGCGTGCATGTGCTTCCATATGTTTCGTTCGTGCTGGTTCAGCAGGCGTGAAGTTGCTGCGAAGTTGCTGCAAAGTTGCCGCAAAGTTGCTACGAAGTTGCTACGCAGTTGCCGCAAAGTTGCCGTGAAGTTGCTGCGAAGTTGCGGCGAAGTTGCGGCGAAGTTGTATGAACATTTTCCCATTCTTTTTCTTGTGTTTGCCTTTTATACTACCTTTATTTGTCCCCTGTTTACCGCCTTTTTATGCCCCATTTTTTGGGCCTGCCGATAAAAAAAAACGTACACATGCATACATGTGTGCACATTTACACAGCAGCAGAAGATTAGCAATAAAAAAAAAAAAAAAGGGAAAAATTAAGAAGCGGCCAAGTAGGAAAGAGATAACGGGAGAGAAAAGCTGACCACGTTCCTACTCCCACGAACATTCACGTTGATGTTAACGTCGATATTCGAACTCATGTTTATGTATTTTTTTTTGTGTTTTTTTTTTTTTTTTTTTTTTTTTTTTTTTTTTCACTTCGTCATTTGATGCTGTCTAGCGCGGTGAAAAGGAAAGCGGTGCGATGAGAAGAGAAACAAATCACAGGTAAAAGAAGCAAATCGTAGCTACGCAAAGCTTACACTCCACGTGATACATTAAACAGTCGAGGTTCCACACACGTAACTTTTTTCCATCACTCGTATCCAATAGCGTTTTGCAAAAAAAAAAAAAGATAAAGAGAACACACTGGCGAAATCAAGCTGGCAAAAAAACGTACCAACAAGCTAGCAAAAAAAACGGACAAACAAGCTAGCAAAAAAAACGGACAAACAAGCTAGCA